ACAGATTCTATCTAAAGCTCATTTTTAACAGTTTAAAGCTCATTTTTAACAGATTCTATCTAAAGCTCAATTTTAACAGTTTAAAGATCCTTTTTATCATATTCTATCTAAAGTTCATTTTAACAGTATCTGTTTAAAGATCTTTTTTAACAGATTCTATCTAAAGCTCAATTTTAACAGTTTAAAGATCCTTTTTAACAGATTCTATCTAAAACTAATTTTTAATTAAATATCCTTTTTATCAGATTCTATCTAAAACTAATTTTTAACAGTTTAAATATCCTTTTTAACAGTATATGTCTAAAGCTCCTTCTTAACAGTATCTGAACGAAGTGACACAAATATGTTCTTAAAAGTTCCTGATTTCAAGCCACAGAGAACATTTTTCTATGTTAGCAATGAAAATGATTTTTATATTGAAGTTGTCTGTTTGTAGTTTAGCACAAAGATGCACAATGGGCTATTTGTGCTCTGCCCACCACGGGTATCGAAACACGGTTTTTAGCGTTATAAGTCCGCAGACTTACCGCTGGAGGGAGGGTTCTATTGTGAACAATCTAACAAATTCTGGTCAATATTGAGAAGTACCTCTAAAAGTTTTTGTGCTTTAAATATAGGTTCTATTTTTGTGTGTTTTTTATAAACTGTATATGTCTTTTCGTATTCTAATTTTAACCACCTGTCACAATTAAATATAGGTTCTATTTTTGTGTGTTTTTTTATAAACTGTATATGTCTTTTCGTATTCTAATTTTAACCACCTGTCACAATTAAATATAGGTTCTGTTTTTGTGTGTTTTTTTATAAACTGTATATGTCTTTTCGTATTCTAATTTTAACCACCTGTCACAATTAAATATAGGTTCTATTTTTGTGTGTTTTTTTATAAACTGTATATGTCTTTTCGTATTCTAATTTTAACTACCCGTCACAATATGACATATAATTAAATTAAAAATAAAATAGTGGGAACATTTTGATATTAAAATATTCAAAGTTGGATTATTTTCTACCGATTATAGTAAGGTTTCTGGAAACAGCTCAAGAACAGGTTTGCAATAAACTGTGCATAAACATTTTGAAAAATTTAAACACTGATATCCAACTTATGTAGAATTATACACGGACTGTTCTCTGCGTTAAAATTATTTCATTTTGTTTGCGATCTTTCGGTCCTCTTATCGTAGCCTTCATCGGGTAAAATGTCCGAAAGCTCACAGATAAAAGTATTTTAACGTAGAGAACAGTCCGTAAATAATTCTACATACTAAGTTGCCTACGTTATGAGTCTTAGAAAATAAAAATATTCAACTTTTAACCTAATTTAAATCACGTTATTTAAAAACAATAGAAATAGCCTTTTCCTCTCTAGTTTCTTTTCTGGGTTGCCCCCAAGTGGCACAACGGCACGTATGCGGACTTACAACGCTAGAAACCGGGTTTCGATACCCGTGGTGAGCAGAGCACAGATAGCCCATTGTGTAGCTTTGCGCTAACTTGAAACAAACAAACTTTTCGGGGTTAATTTTGTGGTATATGACACCACTATAAAACTTTACATGTTGTGTTAAGTACTTCCCTGTGAACGAGGGAAAACGTCTAACGTCCAGTATTTCCCTGTGAACGAGGGAAAACATCTAACGTCCAGGAAATATAGAGGGCTAAGAACACAGTTGGATATGAGAAGTTTCGTTCATTTTTTATGTCCTCAGTATTTAGAACGTTCGGGATACTAAGGTTAGTAAAAATCACTTTTATACTCCAGATAATTATAAACCTTTAACCAACGTTTCGCGTTTGCGAACTTCATTAGGATTAGTATATTTATAATACATTCGGGATACAAGAGAGCATAATAAGCACAAGTTGAGGTCAAATCTACAAGTGTTAGAAACGTTAACCTAATAACATTTCGATTATTTCAATATTTTGTTTCTATTAAAAACAGTGATTATGTACGATAAGTTTCACACAAAGAAACAAGTGTAAAATATTTACTCTTGATTTTTCGCTTTAAACGTTTTCATAGCTCTCCTAGTTTGCTGTTATTCAAGTCGTTTTGTGAATTTGAGCAGTATTTATATTAATTACAATTAATAGCGTCTCATACTATTTTTGTAGAAAGTAACGAAGCACCAATGATTTTTAAAGATTAAATGTATGATTTTTTACACCAGAGGGAACTGGCCTATAGTAACATATATCTTGTTTATTTGCAAGGCTGAGCTTCGCCGTGTTTATACCCATCTTCAAGTTCTCCGTAACAAGACCATGAGGAAGGACAATCCTCACATTTCCAAAAGACGTGGAGGGCGAAAAGTAACACACAGAAGGTTTTCTCTGCAGGCTTTTCACAAACATAAACAACATCATCATGACTACGACCATGAGTTTACCGAAATATCAAAAACTCCTGAAGAGTCAGTAGCGAGTGTAGAGGGCGCTCCGCTCCAGGGAGATGGACCGTCGATCAGAAATGAGGACATAATGGCTGCTGCATCAGTCAGCTTTAAAAATGGACTTAAGTAGAAAACACCAGTCGATGTATTCAGACACTAATAGGTGCTAGTTGAGTAATTCTGTAGATATTCTTCATATCAATGGAAGAACTTTTTGATTTAAGTTATAGAAGCCAGTCGTCACACCTTTTATGACGTATTTAAAGTTTATTATACAATTAGCTTGTAAAGTTAAATAGTTTCTACCATTATGAATAGAAATTGATGTTAAAGATTTTACTTCAACATTTTTTAAAAACTCCAAAAAAATAATTTAAATTTTATGTTGGGAAAAGCACAACATAGCTATAAAACAATGTATTGGAGTATCTAAAATGTATTTATCCAATATATATGTTCCTTATTGGGAACATACCAACAGTGTTCCTGATTCATAAAGGTAAAGACTTTCATAAGAATAATATTTTTTACGTGTTCAGCAAAGAAACTAGTAAATAAAATTTCTCATCCGTTATAATATAATTTATATTCTGGAACCTGACCGACCTTCAGAGTAGAACAGAAACAATTATTAGACTCGCGAAATGAGATCGTTCGAGTAAAACTAGGTTAATATTTTCTTTGGTGAAATATACATTTTTTTTCCTGAATATATGGCGTGTCAATATTCTTGTTTGTTAATAAAATACCAGATATAACCATTATTGGATGCAAAAGCTTATATACGTGTTGTTTCACGTTTACTGATACATTAAGCTGCTTGAATATGAAAATTACCATAATAATCTCAGAGTTAGACTTGAGTTTATTTCTTTTATACACAACTGGAACTTCTCACTTATCTCGACAAAACCTATTGATTATGTGAACAGCTAATGTAATAACGTAGATAGAAGAACAAATGACAGCTCATAAAGATATGATCATTAATTACATGCGCACAGCGACAATGATTTAAATTGGAGGCATACCAACAATCTTACAATAACATGTTTATAGGCGATATACATGGGGAAAAAAACCTAGTAATAAAATATAAAACAAAGGACAACTTTAGTGTTCTTGCTGGTCCGCTCTTGACAACTCCTATACATATACATGCAAACCTATATCTGGTTGTTTCCAAAGTTTGGATTATATTATGTAGAATTATTATGTTACAAAAGTAATAATTTTGTTTCTTTAAAAAGGGCCTATAAGTGAAATAAAGAGTCATTTTTCTTATGCGGGTTTATTGTTCATCAACACTCTCTTATGTCACACTAATAGCGATTAGTAGGCTTAGTTAAAAATAATCGACAGTTGTTGAGACCACCTTTTGATTACCACACTGAAGCAGAAGAAAATATTACAGCACCTAGATGTAAACATTAACCAAAAACGTTATACTCTTTGACTTTATTTATGAAAAACAGTTCACCCTACTTTAAAGAAGAGTTGTTGAGAAACATTGAAGAAAATGTATTTTGTGTCATATATATCTCTAGTATCAAAACCTAGATACAAGCCTAAAATAGGGCTCAAGCGCATATATTCAAAGTTGACTATGTAAGGACCTCAACAGAGTTCTTTAAATACGTTTCGGTGGAAAAAAATGGAATCCTTCCTGCAGGTTAGTTTGATCACTGTAGACAAGGGATTAACTGTTGACATAATAATACAGCAAGTGTTAGTAACGAAGTTGATATTAGTGATATCAGAATATAGCTGTTGGAAGTGTTAACTTTACGTCTAATAACTGAAGATGTCTACTGGTTAGCGAATTCAGTATTATATCAGTAGCTGAAGGTTGTTATTATAACATTATATGTGATATCTGAAAAATTATGTGGTTAAATTTAACTTTATGACTAATAACTGTTAGTGAATTTAATAGTACTACTGATATGTGAAAAATGCTAGTAATATAATTAACATTATATCTCATAACTAAAGATTGTAGTTACTATGGTTAACTCTATTTTCTGATAACTGAAACTAGATGTTCGTGAGGTTAATTTTATATCTCACAATGAAAGATGGCTGTTGTTGACGTTAACTTTATATTTTATAACTAAAACTAGCTGTTAGTGAGGTTGATTTTGTATTTGATTAAAGATTGCAATTAGTGAAATTAACTTGATAACTGAAAATATTTGTTGGTCACGCAGTTAAACTTTTGTCTGATAAATGAAGATAGTGTTGTATAAAACTCTGATAAATGAAGACAGTTACCACTGTATAAAAATGATATATATATATCCTGCTTAAACTTATTAAGGGATAACTGAAGTTTTCTATATTAGAGCAACAGAAAGGCACAAATACTGTTATTAGATCATGCCAAATGAACCTAGGTGTCGGGTAACCGGTCATGTGCACTGATATGCAGATTTCAGTGGTATTTATAGAGTGAAGTGTGTCCTCATTTTGCAGCTTGAACAACAGCAGATTGTGTAAAGATATCCAGATTCCAACCTGCATATTGAGAACACAGTATGTTTCTTAGCATGTTTCACTATCACAATCTGCTGTTGTTTAAAGATATCCAGATTC